TTTTAAGTATTCTCGCACTCGGTTCGAATCCTCTACTAGTTTTTAAGTATTCTCGCACTCGGTTCGAATCCTCTACTAGTTTTTAAGTATTCTAGCACTCAGTTCGAATCCTCTACTAGTTTTTAAGTATTCTCGCACTCGGTTTGCCAAATAGGTTTCTGATATGCATGCATGCATGCCAGTATCCTTCCTATAGCTATAACGTTCTCTTATCTGCAGACTTTCAAGTGCAATGGGTGAATGAATATATGTCAATGAATGGTCATTTAGTCAAAGAATACATTTTAGGGGTAAAGTACGCATTTAGTACTTGAACTATCAGTTTTGGTCCGTTTTTCTACCTAAACTTTCAGTTCTTTTCAAAATCATACCTAATGTTTAGTTTTTGTTTCATCTTAGTATCCCACTGTTAAAAACTTAACACGTTTAGTACCTAAACTATCAGTTTTGGTCCGTTTTAGTACATAAACTTCCAATTCAAAATTTACATTAAATTTTGAACAATGGTACTAAAACGGAACAAGAACTGAACTTCAGGTATGGTTTCGAAAAAGTTGAAAGTTTAGGTACTAAAGCGGACCAAAGCTGATAGATTTGGTACTAAACGTGTAATTTACCCTAAATTTCAGTATGCTTTTCAGCTATGCTTATTCTGTGAGAGTGATTTACTCTTTATGCACTCATATGAAAGAGGGTTCACTTTCTTTCCTTTCAAGTTTCATGCAGAAAAGAATGTAGAATCTAGCGAATACGATGTATAAGAAACGGAGTTATCGTTATGTTATAATAACTCCGTTTCTTATATAAATACGATACGCATACAGGATTATCGAGTTTAATGAAAAAGCTTGAGCCCTCTTGAGAACATCTACAAATTGTTGAGTTAGTAGGTAAATCCATCTCTTAGATGCCATGGAAAGCTGATTTTGATACCCTTCAACCCTAAAATGGACAAATCCCACTTCTTCCTATTTCTATACGATCGACTATTTCGGATCGGATATTGTAGAGTTTCATTATAGAAATGACTTTTAACACTTAACTTCTTCATTTACATTGTCAAAATTCGAGCTTTTACAATTATATTAACTGCACTTGAAATATATATATATATTTGAAATGAAGGGATTAATAATTGATTCATAAATATAGCTAAAGATCAAAATTCATTACTTTCTTTGGTTATCATTCATGCTTCATGGTTTGGTATGACCATTCATATCTTAATTTGTGAATTTAACAAAAGAATTTTAACAGTATTAATTAGTGGACTTGAGTTTTAAATATTAAAAATAGAGGGACTAAATTCCAAATGTGTAGATAGTACAAGAACTCGAAGCATATTTTAACCTTATTATTTTTAATGCATAATGACAAAATTACTCTTCAACGTTTGCACAAACGGTCACTTTATCTCCTATTCTTTTTCTGAAAACATTTTAGTCTTAATGTTTCGATTTTTTATCAGAAAAGACCATGTTAGATGGAAACTATTAGTTAACTAATGTTCAACACATATTATTTATGTGACATTTTCACATGTGTTTATTTATTAATATAATACATGTCACGTCATCATTTTGATTTATGTAGTACATGTATCATCATCATCTTGGCAAATGTAGTATATGTCACATCATCACTTTAGATGGGTGATATATGTCATGTCAGTAATTAAACACATGTGAAAATACTATGTCAAAAATATATCTTAATCGTTAGTTAACTAATGATTTTCATCAAACAAGATATGTTTTGACTAAAAATTAAAAAGTTAGAGACTAAAATGTTTTTTTTTAAATAACAAGGATAGAATGATCATTTATATAAATGTTGTGGGTGATTTTATCATTATTCCTATTTTAAAAGCAAAAGTTTAAGTAGGGTTTAAGAGGTTAATTTGGTAATTACAAGATTTTGTCACCAAATTCCAAATTACTTAACCTATCTCCACTTTTTTCGGGACGGAAACTTCTTTTAACTGCAATGACCAAAATGCACTTATATTGTTGACGATAAAAAGAGTAAATTGCATTATATATCCTCAAACTATGACCTTCATTCTATATTGGACCTTAAAATTTTAAACATTTTAAATTTATCCCTAAACTATGAATATCATTTTAAATTGGTACTTAAACTTTTAAACATTCCAAATTCATTCCCAAACTATGACCCTCATTTTAAATTATTCCCCAAACTTTTGAACATTCTAATAACTCCCCCCTAAATCATTCAAAAGTTTAGAGGTAAAATTAGAACATTCAAAAGTTTGGGGGATCAATATAGAATTAGGGTCATAGTTTGAGGATGGATTCAGAATGTTAAAAAATTTGGAGACTAATTTAGGATGAGAGTCATAGTTTAGGGATGAAAATAGAATGTTCAAAAGTTTAGGAACTAATTTAGAATGATAATCGTAGTTTGAGGCTGTATAGTGCAATTAACTCCAATAAAAAGGATGATATTGTATCTTTCAAGGCTAATTTCGTAAACTGATCAGCTCGCCAAACATGAGCTGTTGTGACGGTATATAAGAGAACGGAATAGAAGAGATAAAGTAACGGAACGGAAAAAGACGATATTGTTGACGTGGACGAATCATAAACTTCCACGGCACCAAAAAATATGCTTCTAGTCCCTCTACTTTGATAAAAATAGATATTTAGTATAATAAAAAGAAAAAAAAATATTATTATTTTTTACTGTTGGGGTATAGAAATCATTGTCCAATTATTAGTATTGGAAGTATACTAAATTATATTTAGTAAATAAAATATAAATATAAAATTTACACAAATAATTATCTTAGTATTTTCCCTATTAAAACTTGTCAATTTTTTTGGTATAATCATCCATGTTAAAGTTTTATTACTAAATACTAAGAAAATACTGATATTTTTTTTTAAATCATATCTAATGTTTAGTTTTTATTTAAGTTTAATACATCACGGTTAAGAACTTAGTGACACTGTATTTTTCTATGGGTAAATTACATCATTTATCACTCAACTATCTTCTCACTCCTATTTTGTTACTAAAGTTTAAAAATTTTCAGTTTAACTAATAAATTTTCAAATTGCTCATATTTTAATCACACTATTTTATTTTATTAATCATTTTAGTGACATGAAATTTTTTATTATTTTATTAATATATAATTAAAAATAAAAATAAATAAATTTGAAAGTTAGGGTGATTGAATTAAGAGTAAAACTAAGTAATTAAAATGAAAAAAATTAACATTAGTTACCAAAGTAGGAGTGAGAAGATAGTTAAGTGATGAATGATGCAATTTACCCATATAAAAGGTATCCCGTGCAAAGTGCAAATAACCTAAACGACAAGGTACTAAAACGAAATAAAAACTAAATATTAAATATAATTTAAAAAAATAAAAAATTGAAATACTAAAGATGATAAAAATATGATAATTTAGATACTAAAATCTATCATAAGGGATGTTTGGATCAAGGAATGTGGGATTCTTATGGGAATAGAATTCACATTCTCATGTTTTGTTAGCCGGGAATCTCATTCCCGGTAATGTTTTATTACCAATAGTAGATTTTTTTGGGTATATTACCGGGAATGTCATTACCTCCCTTTCCTTAGGTATTGTTGGATTACCGGCGTTTTGGACTAAAATGCCCTTAATATTTTTTTCTTTAAAAAATATCCTTATTCTGTCTTTGAATAATAAAATTTCTACGAACGTTAAATTACAAATTTATCCTTAAACTATTTTAGATTTAAAAAAAAATCTATAATTAAAATTTTATATGAAGTTAAGTGGTTAAAATAAAATTTTACCCTTTCATTAAACTTTTTTATATTTTAAATTTTGTAATATATATATATATATATATATATATATATAAATTTTATGAATTTAAATTTTTTTAAAAAAAATATATATAAATATTTTTTAACTTATTAAAAAAATAAATATATAATAAAGACAATTTAGTTAAATATACATTCTAATAATCTTTTATTCATCTTGCATTCCTTCTAAATCAACCAAACACAAAATATAATATTCTCAGTAATCTTATTCTTTGGTAATTTTATATTCTCACTGATAATCTTATATTCTCATTGATAATCTTATATTCGGTTAATTAAACCACCTTAAAAAGAAAGAAAAGCTAAAGGAGCGGTTTTTCTACGTCAAAAAGCTAAACATCTTTTCATTCACATCTTGTAGTACAGCTGCGACACTTTCTTTTTGGATGCCGAGAAAAGGAAAGAAAGAAAATCGTCTTCTCTTCCTTTTTCTACTGACACTCCTTAAAAAGAAAGAAAAGCTAAAGGAGCGGTTTTTCTACGTCAAAAAGCTAAACATCTTTTCATTCACATCTTGTAGTACAGCTGCGACACTTTCTTTTTGGATGCCGAGAAAAGGAAAGAAAGAAAATCGTCTTCTCTTCCTTTTTCTACTGCTGACACTCAACTCACTCATTCACTCACTTTCTTTGTAAGTGTTCTTTTTATCATTTAATATTCTTTTGTTTTCTGAGTATATAAGAACTTAGCATTTGGTCAAGTGTTCTGTCTGGTTTAAGGTTGGGTTCTTGCTGGAAACCCAGTTTTCATGTTGGAGTGTTGCTCTATTGGGTGTTTTGGAAGATGGGTTAGATGATTTTGAGAGTTTGGTTTTGTGGAATTGCTGTAAAAAGGATAAAATTATATAAAAAAAATGGTATAAGGAACTGTTAAAGCACTTTCTTTTTAGTACTGTTTTACTTTTGATTTTTCATGTTTACTGTATATGTATGTACATATGTATGTATGTGTCATGTATGTATGCGTGTACGTATAACCTCAGACTTAGCATCTCAAACTTTCTTCTTGAAGGAAGAATATACTTATATCCCTCCCCCACTAATTGATTTGTTTCATGTTGAATGCTTATGATTTGTGTTTGTGTTTTTGCGTGTGTGTGTGTGTGTATATATATATATTGTGCAGGATACTGTGAGCTTTGTATATAGACAATGGATGACTATCTTGATCAGTATTTCTCTTCCTCTTCATGGTCCGATGTTAATGTTAATGTTAATGTCAAGGAAAGGTCATCTTGGGTCCATGGCGAACCGGATCAGCCAAATGCACTGCTGGCTTGTTCGCAAGGAGTGTACCAAGATGATAAAAGTGACGTACCGGTAAGCTTGATCGGTTCAAACCATGGCATGGAGTGCTTGGCTGCACATAGTACTCCTTTAGATGTTGTTGACCATGGTTTGTTGTCTGGAGCACGGATGAATGATGAAAATCGCACCTCGACGCAGATAGTAGACGGAAGCTTGGGATTTGGAGATCTGGGCCTGCAGTTTAATGTGGATGTTCATTCCTCTGGCTCGGTGAGCGCACCTCGACGCAGATAGTAGACGGAAGCTTGGGATTTGGAGATCTGGGCCTGCAGTTTAATGTGGATGTTCATTCCTCTGGCTCGGTGAGCCATCAAGTTGTTGGTGATATGACTCCGTCTCGATCAAGGAATGCGGCGTGCAATGGAGGTGAGTCTTCCGAGTTTCGGAGATCACTTACAGGCTTAGAAATCCTTTCTCCAGTTCCACAATCGTGGCATCCGCAACCGTATGACGTTGTATTTTCTTCCCTTCCGAGTTCGATGGGACAAACCAGAATGCAAAGCTCTCGTCTTCAACATGAGAACGGAAACATAGTTGATGATGGTAATTATGGCAATATTAGCAGATTTGTGGAGATCGATAAGATTCTGCAACCGGAGAACTTATCAGCATCGATCAATGCAAAGGTATGGTGGCAAAAGGCGAGCCGTCTTGTTTTAGTTTGGGGTTAAAGTTTATCTTTTGTTTCTCATAATGTATCAGGGAAAATACGATGCTGAAAATTCTCTCTACTCATCTTGTCCGGCCAACCGTCCGGTAACGAATACTATGATAGGCTTACCATCTCTGCTGCGGATCCTTGAATTATGGTCCCTATTTCTCATCATTCTTTTTCTAGGCTTACTAGCTTTGAACTTTTAATACAGAGTTCATCACCTAATCCAAAAAATGGTTGCAATGGAATCGGGAAGCCTCGAGTTAGAGCACGTCGAGGTCAGGCTACTGATCCACACAGCATTGCAGAGAGGGTCAGTCACTTGGCTATAATATTTCTCGTTTTATAAGTTCATAGTCTCGCCTTCTAAGTTATATTGTTTGATCGATTGCAGCTCCGAAGAGAGAAGATTGCCGAAAGGATGAAGAATCTGCAAGAGCTTGTACCTAATTCCAATAAGGTATCTCTTCTGTATGTATTTTGCTATGGTCATTAACAGGCCTAATAGGATCACATTGATTTTGCTTTGAGTACATGCCGGTTACGAGTATGTATCTGATCTTAGTGAGCTTTGCAGACCGACAAGGCCTCTATGCTCGACGAAATCATAGAGTATGTCAAGTTCCTTCAGCTCCAAGTGAAGGTAAGACGAAGTTTTCGTTAATATCGCAAATCCGAGCCAAGCTTCAAAAGAACTAATCAGAAACCAATGGCTGTGTGCTGCTGCAAATTATTTGCAGGTACTAAGCATGAGCAGGCTGGGGGCAGCCGGTGCAGTTGTTCCTCTCATCATTGATAGCCAAGCTGAGGTGCCAATTTCTCGCTTCCCCAAACCCTAAACTCCAAGCCTTAAAATATCAAAATTCCCAGATTTAATCGTCAACTACAGTAACATTTTGTCCAAATTGTGTTCTAGCAGGGATCTAATGGCTTAACACTAATACCCTTGGTGGGCGAAGGAGTCAATTGTTCGCCACCTCCCGAACAAGTCGTTTTCGAGCAAGAAGTAGTGAAACTCATGGAATCCAACGTGACAACAGCCATGCAATATCTGCAAAGTAAAGGTCTCTGCCTTATGCCGGTCGCGCTCGCTGCTGCCATATCAAACGGAAAGGCAACACCGTCGTCATCGTCGGGTCTTGCTTCCAAGGAGAGGAAGAAACCCGGTTTCGCTTATGGTGTTTTAAGCACCGATGATATTGCTCACAACACCTGCAGCAGGAGCAGCAGCAGTAGCACTGGCACTGGGATTCATCGATTAACAACCTGTGATGGTAATTCTTCGATCGAAAAGCAAAATGGTTGCAATGGAAGCTTCAAACAAGAGGAAATCAACACACCGTGCACAGCCAAATGACTGAAATCACATGCCAATGTGCACAACTACTGCAGATTATGGTTTAGATTCTCAAAATATTCTAATTGAGTATTCAAATTAGTACATTATCTTTTGAAATTAGTCCTCAAAGATTCCAAAACATTCTAACTAAATCCTTCGAAAATCAGTATCATTTCAATCGAGGTCATACCTTGATATGGAAGAAACACCCCAAAAACAAGAAGAAAGTTAAAGCATTCTAATGAAGAAATGAAGTGATTGAACAAAAAGCTAACTCCTTAAATCTACAGTTACTCTTCTTCATCTCTGTTTAGCAGAATACAAAGAGAAATTAGGTGGGGGATGGGGGCTCGTTAATGGCTTGAGCTATATATGAGAACAACAATGGCGGCATACGATACAATAGTTACATTTCCTAATGTCGTCAAGGTTTAGGGTTCAGCATGCATTGCGGTGAGGAACAAAACTGAAATCGGAAAAAGGCTACGAAATTAACGGGAATCTAAAGTGAAAATCGAAGTATGTCAATAACCATTCATCGGTTTCTTCTTAAAATTTGAGATGCTGCAGTGTGGACAAACGTACTCCAGCCCATCTGTTTTCGCATAATCCTGTCGTTCACGAGATGAAACATCAAGTTAAACCGTAGTCGGTTGCATAATCCTATCTTGATAGGAAAATTTTAGAAGATATATATACCTTAAAAGCCCCGAGCCCCTGCCGCCGGTCACAGCCGAAGTGAGCCCATTCACCACAAACTCCACAGTTTACCCAGTCGCCTGCTGCACTACTGTTTTCACACAAAATCTCCGGTCAGTATCACAAACAAATCCGTATATGCACAAGCTCATTGTGAACGTGTGCTGGAGAGACCTGTGGCATAACAAGCAGCATTCTCCATCCACATCGTCGTGGGCCAATTCGTACTCTAAAAGGTAAGTCTCATAATGTCTTTTAAGAGTGTTGCCCACTCCCTACGTAAATTATAGCAAAAAGCAACAGTTATCGTCCCGATATTAGAAACATTACTATCACAAAGTAAAATAATAACACGAGCAACTTCGAAACATACAGTCATTCTATTTGTCAATGTGTGATTGCGCATCTTCGAAAAAACTTGTCCCTTCCAATTTATGCCATTCCCGACATGAAAGCCTCCTCTTGACACCACCTGTTATATTCAATTCAATCCGTCAATAACATATATATATATATATATATTAGCCAGATATCCATCATATTTCGCACATAGAATAATTTACCTCTCTATACAAGTTAAAAAGGTCAAGACGCTTTGCATTAAGAACGGCATCGGGAAACTCAGCTAACCCACCTTGAGGAACCAGCCTAGTATGTCCTCGAAGAATCAGAAACTGCATTACATCTCTCAAAAATTCTTCCTGCCAGAAAAATATATATTCAAATAACATGAAGGAGAAGCTTTAAAGTATAATGCAAAGAGATTCATAACTTTCCTTATCTTCTGCAACGACTAGAAAACATTATACACGCGGACACTATATTTGTAAATTCTTAACTCGAAACTCGAGAAGATGACTAACCTCCGAGCAAACTTGTATCGGGGTTCTACCACAACCATGTTTCTTAAGAGGTAATGGATTTAAATATATAATCTGTTGAGCCTGATAAGAACTCGACAATGCTTTCCGATGTGTAGCAGCAGGTTGCTTCACGGGAACTACAGGCAAGTTTACCTTTCCTTGTTCCCCATCATATTTCTCAGTCTCTGAAAATCCAGAAAAGGGAATCATCTTATGACGATGGGTGTGAGGAATTGGCCTCATAGCAGCAACACTAGTTTTTGATCTTGCAATGCCATTTACACCTTCCATGACTGCACACTTTAGAGGTTTAGTGTCTTTACATGGCTCTGATCTTTTTCGACTAGGTGGCGGCGGCACCAACCAGCTCGGAGTTCTGGCAATTAGATAACTACCCAAGGAGGGATCCTTGCCCGGGTTTTTGCAAAAGAAAAGAATACGCTCAGCATCATCTTTTTCAAAAGATGCAACCGACAAACCTTGAATGCTAGCAATCCCCAGCATAACTAAGCTGCGGTATGACACGTCTCGTGCAAGTTGCCTTAGTATCTGTCAAAAGTCATTCCGAGAAACTTGTTGGGAGTTAAAATAAATCAAGAAAAGTCGAGCAAACTTTAAAACGGTTATAAGAAATAGAAAAGCTCTAGAGAAAGAGTAAAATACTTAAAGTGAAAATCGGACCTGCGAAGCCCATGTGGGAACCTTCATGCTCACTTCGAACACACTTGCTCCACAGGCAATTGAGGCTGATCTACGAGGCTCCGATGGAGGCAATTTGCTCTCCTCAGAACTTGACTGTGCACGGACTAGATGTGTCTTCTCGATAAGCTCATTTTTTATATGATTTTCCAAAAGCTGAGACAAACAAAGAAAAAAGGAAAAACAAATTGTGGCTTGAACTTAAAGTAACAACACTAGCAATTAATCTGATCACAATTACTTGCCTGATCGTTAAAACAAGTCTGTGCACTACCAGACACTAGAAATGATACATGAGTCGAACTGCAGGTTGAAAAGTCACAACGCATGGTCACTACACCACGAGAAAATGTCCCCGTCTGAAGTGGTGGTGGTGGAGCACTATAAGAATGGAACCCCATAAGTATGTCGATGATAATGCACAAAAGTAACTTGGAGGAAGCAATTGTATGGGGAATGGAAGCTCCATAAAAGAAAAGATCAAAGTCTCAAACATTTAACTAAAAACCCTCGAAACAGAACGAAGCCAAGAACCCATGTCCCAAAAGAAACTATAACTAATCCCAAATTTATCGATACCTTGCTCGGTTATGGAGCTTGCTCCCTCGTATCTGAAACAAATGACAACTGAATCTAGTTAATAAGTGGGTAAAACAGATTCGAAGTATTAGAACAGATTACATCCCACACGAGCACACAACAACACACTTCAGATGTATATTCATGAGAATATATGGTTCAACACGAAAGCAATAGTATGAACTTACTTCTATGCTTAAGAGGGCATTAAGTCCATCCTCCAAAGATCCCAAAAGGAATGCATCCTGCAGGGCATACAGTTAACAACCAATATAAGCCAGGGTGAATAAAGTATTTTATTGGGCTTAAGAGTGCCAGAAGCCCTCGAACTTCTAAAAAAAACCAATTAAACCCCTATTTTTTTTGTACCCAATGAAGTCCCTGTACTCCAAAATTTCATCAATTCACCCCCTTTGACCAATATTGACCGCTAAATCTAACAGTTTTTTTGGATCAGTTGGTGCCACATGTCGCGTCACAATGTTTCCACGTGATGGTAATATCTCCGAAAAAGGCGTTAAGACTTAATGGTCAAAATTGGTCTAAGGGCTTAATTGATTCAATCTCTCGGTTCGAGGGTTCAAATGGGTGCAAAAAAAGTTCAGTGGCTTAATTTTTTTTTCTTTCAAAAGTTCAAGAGCTTCAAGGACCCTTGAGCCTATTTTATTGATTCAAGAACAGAACAACTAAAACACAAACCTACCAATACACATTGCGATCCACAAACAAGAAACCGCATAGTCACATCATCATCATATATCTTTACGGCAGGAAGATCATCAGGAGAGCTTTCTTTGTCTTGCATATCTACCTGTGGTTGACAAACGTCAATCTTGGGAGGCTCCCCGAGCAGATGAGGTGCTGGCTTAACACTTTGTTTCTGACTATTAGAAAAGACACTATTGTTGTTCCGTACACAGTACAGTCTAAAAGAAGCATCGGCAACTTGGAATGCATCCCATGTATGGCTACATGAACTGCAATGGGCCAAAACTGCAAAACTTTAGAACCGTCTCCGGAAAACATTTTACCAGTTTGTAGACAGTATCTCTGCAAGCCTTAAAATAGTGCACAAATTTGTGTTACCAACCGATTTCGCAAGTTAACAGCACTGTACAACGACCAATTATTCAACAAGGTAGCGAAAATGGGTCATGCTTTGTCGATATAATGAGCGGAGTAGAATATTTGTACCTTTGAATCACTGATAACAGTGCTTGGCGAAAATGGCAAGCTGCGTAACGAGAGAATGTATTTTTCCAATATATAACATATGGTACCCCCTGCCATGAGAAATGAACATCAATGGGTTTCAAAAATGAACATCAATGACTTTTATGCGAACACAAAAAATGAATGTACAATCATTTACTTGTTATCATGGTCAATAATAGTTTTACCTTGGTGTGAAGTGCCTCTGCTAATTTGTCACCATTGGGGACCTCGAGATAGACCTAAAAAAACATTCAAGACTGGAGTATTTCAAATTTCAACGATTATAATGGCCTCAAATAAGCAATGAAACCGGCAAAACTCGTAAGAGTCATAGAACAACCGAAACATTGCATGTACAAAGAATATCCCATATCTCTAGCCCCATCAACGAGAATGAAATTAAATTATAAACTCCATGGAACAAGTATCATAATCATAACAAAGTCATGCTTCATCACTCACAGTCGTGGGCAATGTCGAACCAAAGAGTCCACATAAAGCTTCTGGAGTAGACAAGTCAACGTCTCCCCAAACCAGAGAGCCAATCTCATCACTATCAGCATTCTGCTCTCCTTGCAAATAAACAACATTCGGCTCCGATGAATCCATAACCCGCCGGAACTCATCAATGCTAGGATTATTCAAAAGCTGAACCTACATTCACAAAAACAAAAATGTTACAACATTGCAAAATGAACTTAAGTAAAACTATTGGCACTGTTTATATACCTCTAGACGCCCTGAAGAACCAAGCACCGGAAACGGGTATCTCGGCTTATCATCGGAAACCGGCTGCTTTTGTTTAGTATCGGAAACTTTACCACCACAAAGAACTGCAAGGAGACTGCACTGGTTCCTTGAAGGCCCCTGAGCACTAAACATCATGCAAACATGCCAGACCCAACAAAACTCGAGCTTTGCCACTAACTCACCAATGCATCTTCCAGAAATACTACTGTGAAATCAAATCAAAACCCTAAAGAACTTGCAGTAAATCTAGTAACTCAATAATCCCGCCACTCAAAATCTCTGGGTTTTCCATAATTCCAAGCAGAGAGATCACCAATTCCTAAAAAACCCAAACAAAATGAAGAAAACTCACCAACCCAGATTAGATTGGCAAGAGAATCGAGAACCCAAATGGGCAAAATCCCAAAACACAGAAGGAATCGAACTCTCTCGAAGAACAAAAATCGAAAAAGTACAAGAAGTAACCCTAATTTTAATAACAAGGCTCACTCCAATTATAAAGAAAATCCCAAATAAAAAACGCCGAAAGTACACATCTTTCCTTCACCTAATAAAAATAAAAACCCAAAATCAAAATCAAAATCAAAATCCGATAAATAATTGACTTTTTTATTTCACTGTGTTTATTTCCACGTTTGATTGATAGTAAAAGCCTAACGATTAAACATCACGTTACCGTAATTGAAAATATATTGTTACAAACTACATTACTTGTTCGCAAACTTTAAGAATGTCTACAAAAAAGGCTCTTTTTTCTGTCTTCTACACTGAAAAAAAAATATTAGGGGGAAAATCCCTGGTTATTACAAGTTCTACTAAAGATTCTCGTTTTTCTACTATCTTTTTCATTTTTTTCTCCAGGTTTCTGATTTGGACACAAGTTCAGGACAGGTCGGATTACTCTCAGTATCCAAGGTTGTCCTTTCCACGATCATTGTCATCGATTTTACTACTTTAAGGTTCATCTTGCAATGCAATTTGATTATTTGAAGGGTTTTAATGAGTTGAGTAAATGTGAGTGGCTGGAATTTGAATCGAACAAAATTTAGTTAATGTTTGATTTGGATTGGTTCCATTTAAACTTAATTCGAGATTTTATCGAGTAAGGTCTAATTCGACTTGATTAGTAATTATCTTTAAAAAATATTATTAAATTATGTATTTAATATTTAAATTATCAGCTTTGATCCGTTTTAGTACTTAAATTTTTAATTTTTTAAAATTATATCTGAAGTTTAGTTTTTGTTTCATTTTAGTATCCCTATTCAAAATTTAACGTGAAATTTTGAAAAAAAATGAAAATTTAGGTACTAAAACGGACTAAAATCAATAGTTTATGTATTAAACGCTTTAAGTTTTTAATAGTGAGATATTAAAATAAAACAAAAACTAAATATTATGTATGATTTTAAAAAAAATAAAAATTTAAGTGCTAAAACGGACCAAAATTGATAGTTCATATACTATATGCGTAGTTTATCCAAAATTATTACATTAAAAAGAAAAATCTTAATAATATTACTAATTTACTAATAAATAATAAGAAAATTGGTAAACTACTAAATTAATAATTACTACAAATTTATCAATCTATCAATTTACTAAATGTATTTGTAGATGATAGTTTAGAGTTTATATTTTGAAATTGTTTCGTATTAAGCTTTAGATGGTATTAATACCTATAATTAAAAAAATAAGTTGTTTTTTTAGCCTGTTACACCAGGCGGGTTAATTATTTAGCCTAATACCACTCCAAGGAAATTATTTTGAGATTTACGATAAATGTTACAGTGCATGATAAACTTATCAAAATATATTTTTTTCATTCGATTTTGTCACATCGTTGTAACAAGTTCTAATAAAAAATATTTTTTAATTGTAACTTATCTCCTCGGCGTGACAAGTTCCAAATCATTGTAGTAAATGTTTTATATCAAAAAAAAAAAACATGTGTGCCTTGTTGGTTTAAAATATTACAGGTTTGGGCAAAAAAAAAACCAAAATAAGGTAAAATATTACAGGTTTGGAACGGTCATTTATTCATAAATGATGATTTTGAGCTATGCAGTGGTACCTGTTACTTCCTTAACTGTTGGTTTCGGGAGTGAGGATAAAGATGGTGATTATGGTGCATATCGTTCAGATTCAGAATCAAGGCGTTATGCTCATACCGAGGAGTATTCTGGTGCTATCAATATTGATGAAATTGGCCGTGTGTATGGATCAGATAAAATGCATCCTGATGGAGATGATGTTGATTCAATGCTTTCTTTGTTACCTGAAGATGAAGAGGATGAGAGAGAAGCTGCTCTACTTGATGATGAGGATGAGACTGTGGCTCGTTACAGATTGGTCCAATGCTTTCTTTGTTTCAGATTTTGCTCAAGGTTGCCCATGGAGATGAATTGAAGAAGGTGAAACATGTAGTCCAATATGGAGTTTTTGCAGCTTATCACTTGGCTCTCGAGACATCATTTCTAGCTGATGAAGGTCCTACACTTCCGGGGCTCCCTTTAAAGTCTCCTATAAATGTTGCCTTACCCAATAAACCATCAAGTATTGACAGGTCTATTTCCACCATACCTGGTTTTACCATCCCATCCTCTGGGAAGACCATGGATTCTCAACCGATAAACAAATTGCAGAAATCCAACGAAGTTAATAGCTCAGATAGTCCATCATCTGCCAACCTACAGGGGCTAGTTCATCATGCATGTCAAAAGGTCCTCATTCTCTGACTATGACCAAGGAATCTGCCTCAGACAATGTTGAAGCTATTGCTTCCTTGACTTCACTGTCTGCTTTGAGAGAGAATATCTCTTCTCATAACAATGTTTCATCCCTAAATCATGCATGTGGACAGGTTGATGGAGTGGACCTTAAAGAATCTCTTCGAACCAAAACAGCTAGAGATGGAGAAGCTGTAATGGGTGGCCAGTTTATTTCTCTTTGTCAAAGATTATTAGAAGCAACAGACCAAGGCGGTGGTCCTGGTGGCAGTAATTATGCTGGTGGAAACATGATGGCTGCAAATCATCTAGGTGGCCCAGAGTTGGCATCCTCGAAACAGGAGACTTGCAACAACAACGAAGAGGTGGGGTCCTCTAAGGAAGAGTTTCCTCCATCACCTTCATAGCACCAGTGCATTTTGGTGTCTTTATCAACACGTTGTGTTTGGAAGGGCTCTGTGTGTGAACGGTTCCTTCTCTATCGAATCAAATACTATGGGAGCTTCGATAAGCCTTTGGGACGCTTTTTACGAGATCATCTGTTTGATCAGGTAGCTGTTATTGTTGTTATTTCATGCACAAAACTTATCCCCTTCTCTGTTTCTTATTTCTACAACTTAAGATTCTTCTTATCAGAGCTTCCATTGCCGTTCATGTGAGATGCCATCTGAGGCACATATTCACTGCTATACTCATCGACAAGGTAGCCTGATGATATCTGTTAAGAAACTATCAGAGCTTCCTTTACGAGGAGAGCGGGAAGGAAAGATTTGGATGTGGCATAGGTTCTTGCGATGCCCTCGGATCAATGGGTTTCCTCCTGCCACTCGAAGAGTTGTAATGTCTGATGCTGCTTGGGGTCTATCCTCGGATCAATGGGTTTCCTCCTGGCCAACCTGTGATTGACATTCTTGAGATGAATAAGTTGCGGAGGCAAATACTCTTTCTGTCTTATGTTTGGGACCAACGTCTGGGACATGCATATAGTTCGATTAACAATAGTATCCAGGAAGTTACGAGCAGTTCCATCGGTATGCTTGGGTTGAAGCCTGTTAGTTCTGTGGAGAAGCTTCTCGAGATTAATGTCAGTCCCAAGCCAAGTAAAGCCTTAAGTAGTTCCGAGTCTGCCCTAGTTGGGACCAGGCCTAACATAAAAAAAATCATGCAGGCAGTACTGGTCAAATTGACAAATCGGATGGAGATCACCCAAAAAGGGCATGGACAGGGACTTCAATAACATGGAGGAGACTGAGCTTTCTCTTTCTTCTAGTACAAATACCAGCTACAAATATGATTCTCTTGAATCTGGAACAGTTGTGCAAAGGGCCCAGTCAGAAGGGAAATTACCAAATACGGAAAATTTATCTGAGACCCTTGAGGCAGCATGGGGTGGTGAAAGTCACCCTGCTAGCATAATCTCTAAAAGGAGAATGGTTACTGTGTTCCCGGTTCAGTTGCGGCGGATGTGTCAGCTGCAGGAAATTTGGATCAGGAAATTCTTGCTATAGATCATGTTGAAATGGAACTGATTCGTACTCCTCAGTCTGCTTTGCCTACTAAGAAACTTGAAAACCTGGAGAAGTCAATTAGCTGGGCAAGCATACCATTGCCAAGTTTCTCATATAACAAGAATTCTTCGTTCAATCCTCGAAAGCTCAGTATCAATGAGTGTAGTCCAGTCTATATCTCTTCATTTATGGAGTTGGAAAGGCAAAGTGGTGCGAGGCTGTTGCTTCCACTTGGTGCTAATGACACAGTAGTACCTGTTTATGATGATGAGCCTACTAGTATTATAACATATGCACTCGTCTCATCAGAATATCATTCACAGATGTCTGAGTCGGAGAGGCCAAAAGATGCTGCAGATTCTGCAGTTTCACATTACATTTTGATTCAGATTCTGCAGAAGTCTGAAACGGAGTTCGTAATGATCATTTGAACGTAGTTCAGGTCACCTGGACGAACTCTTCACATTTCTGCTTTTTCCGGGACACTTTTTCATCGATAAACCTAGCAGTGAATGAAATGGAAGTATACGAAAAGCCTATGATGTTAGAAGACCCTCCTCCTTCGGATAGCCGGTTCCGTTCGTCCGGTTTCCTCTGGTTGTGTACCATGTATAGGTTGTCATACGTTTCGGGTTAGATGCATTTCCAGTGGCATATGAACTAATCGAATCGATCCGATCCGATCCGATCCAATGTTCGCATTTGCTACTCAATAATGTTTGTTCTCACGATTACGTATATGTCTGTCTATAGTTGATCGATGTAATGGACTACTCCTTACTAGTTGGTGTGGATGAGGCAATACACATGGGACGAGCACCTTGCAACATGGGTGAAGACCTCGGGCATCCTCGGCGGACTGGAAAACACGCCGCCGACCGTGATATCGCCCCAACAATACAAGAAAAGGTTCGGAAAAGCCATGACCGCTTATTTTCTGATGGTGCCGGATCAATGGTCTCCTCCGACAATCGTTCCGAGCGGGTCTCAGGCTGACCTTTGTGAAGAAAATAATAACAGCACACAAGGTTAGTAATTCTGTTGAATGATGATATTAAAAATCCTTTTGCCTGTATATGCATCTGTTTTTTTTTATTTATAATTATTTGAATCTTGGACATTTTGGTAGATCAGCCTATAGACAATTCAATGGTTTTATTTATTAATTTAAAATATTTTTATTTTTATTTAATTATGAAAAAAGAAAAATATTAATAATACTTTTAAATATTAAATAAATAATCAATTTGAGATTTTAAACCAGTCTGATTTAGGGATGAGAGATCTGTATAAT